TGTCCCAAAAATAAATAAAAAATGTTGAAAAAAAAAATAAAAAATAAAAATAAAATAGGAAGCAGAGAAATGAGGTGGGGTAGCAGGAGGGAGAGGTGGGGTCCTGGAAGGTTTATTTCCTTTTTCAGATGGGCAACAGGACAGCCTATCTGTATGGTGATGGAAATGGTGTGGTGATAGAACAGGAAGTCCAGGAGAAGGGATGGTTACGGTAGCAAAGTCCCTATTTGACCAAAGAAGAGCCAGTAATGGAAGCCACAGGGTTGGCCTTGGAGCTTTGGTAGTTGCCATAGATACATTGTAACAGGGGAAAAGCCTAAGTGTGTAGGCAAAGGTGGGCAGGCAGGCAAGGAAAGATTAAAAAATAAAACAGGGGCGCCTGGCTGGCTCAGTCAGTGAAGCATGTGACACTTGATCTCAGGGTCAGGAGTTCAAGCCCCACATTGGGTGTGGAGATTACTTAAAACAATACATAATATAAAAAATAACTTAAAACACAAACAAAACAAAACTCTGGTTCATTTTTCTTTTCTCAGTGAAATCGGAGGCAAAAATCACTTGCTGAGGGAGTGTAGAAAGGAAATGTTGGGATGTGAGAGATATAAAACACACCTCTCTGAGAGGAGAAGTTAATCAAGCAGGAAAATTGGGCATGCAGGAAAGTGAGATTTCAGGCCAAAAACATCAAATGGAACCCACTGCCCCTAGAGAACTAGCCGTTTTGCATGGATGAAAATCCCGGTTCATGATGCAGCCGTAACAGGATGAAGTCCCGGGCAGAGTCAAACCACGTTGGCATATAGAATGTGAGAACCGCTAGAAACAGAATTAGAAACTCCCAGAAATACCATGGCAGCCGTGAGCTTGACACATCTACCTTTGATTGGTAGAGTGGGTGAAAAATAAATAAGGATCTAGAGAAATGGAACAAAATCAGCTAATGGAATTAGATATCCGACTTTGTATCTTACAAAGGATGCTTTCCTCTGGTCTCCAAATTGTCTTTAACAGACATGTGTTACTTTATAAGAGTGGACGTGAGGGAAAAAACCCTTGTGAAGAGGAGGCTGCCACAAAATAGGAGCAGATACGGGGTGCGTGGGGGGCTCGGCGGTTGAGCAGCCGACTTCAGCTCAGGTCATGATCTCACAGCTCGTGAGTTCGAGCCCCGCATCGGGCTATGTGCTCACAGCTCAAAGCCTGGATCCTGCTTCAGATTCTGTGTCTCCCTCTCTCTCTGCCCCTAACTCACTCACATTCTGTCTCTGTCTGCTCAAAAGTAAATAAACATTAAAAAAAAATTTTTTTAAAGAAAGAAATAAGAACAGATACTGCCCAGATCTAAAGTCAGGACATCGAGTCTTGCTTTTTCCTCTGTAAAATGGGCCTGTCTTCTGCTGCTTTTTGAGGTCGGGGGGTATGTTCCAATGTCTGCATCATGCAGAGATGCCCGGGAAGAGGCTTCAGAGAAGCACAGAGTTGTGCTGGTTATTTCCACATGCCCTCTTTGGTTTTTAGGCATTTGGCCTCATCAGGGGAGCCAGAGTTGGCATCATTGTTGATGTGTCCGCCATTGGCAGTGGCTCTCAAAAAGAGGAGTTCCAAAATGACCTCCTGGTAAGTCTCTCTGGCACAGAGAAGTACCTGGAACCACCCCCATCACCCCCTTCCCTTTGTGAGCTTGCTCCTTGGATTCCCTTATAGCAACGGCAAAGGTTTCTGTGAACCCAACCACGGAGTCCTTTTCAGTTCCAGTGTGAGCTTCTAATATTCTTACCACAGCAGTCCCTGCTAGCTAGACTTGTCCACAAGAGCCCCCGAGTTCCCCGGAAAGAGGACGGGAAGACTAATCACTTGGACTGACCCCAGCATAGCATAGCCCCAGTCTCCTGGTCTTTTCTGGACCCAAGAGCTATCCCATTTTCTTTGGCATTGTCCATAACAAAGAAGCTAAGAACTCCAGAGTTAGATGACTTGGGCTCAAGTCCCAGCCACATCTGCCACTTGGAGGCTGTGGACCTGCTACCTAATCTCCCTATGCCTAGGTTACCTCATCAGTAAAATACGATGATAACAGTGGCCACCTGACAGGGTTGCCCTGGGATGAAAGGGGCTCACCCAAGTTAAGTGCTCAGTACAAAGTCTGGCATGGAAAATAAAACCTCTGTAGCCTCTGTGAACTAATGTGGAGAGGCTATTTTCTTATGGGAACCCCTAGAATTTTGGAGGCAATAGTCAGTTTGAGGACTCTTAGGGTTCAACATGGACTTGTTGTCCACGCTTGTGCCCCATTCCTGGTCTCAACGGATGTCAGGAAATAGCGCAGACCCCTTCATGACACGTCCTCGGGGCTGAGTTTCTAAAGATTCCCTAGGTGGGCTGGTCGAATATTAGCCATGGCAGGGGTCATGTTGGTGGCATACAGATGAAACTCTAACTAGCCAGGAAGAAGAGGAGAAGCTATCTTACTGTTGGGGATTCATCAGCGGCAGCTTGAGAGCATCAAACAGGCTGGCCTTGTGCCCATCACATAGCCACCGTGTTTTGGCGAGAAACCACTGCCCCCCCC